TTTTTTTTTTCAAGTTTTTTTTTTTTTGTTGTTTTTTAATTTAATAATATTTTTCGTGTTAGTAATAAGCATAAAATTGGTATTAATTATTAAAACGTCATTTTTTTATTTAATAATTAAATAAAACTAAGTATTATCTATCAAATAAGCTATTGCAAAATTATTTTACACGTAAGCTCAATCATATAAATGATGGCGTATTTAAAGCACTTTTTTTAGTGAAAATTTCACTTAAATAATGAAATACTTTTGAGCTCCAAGATGCTCCAGAAATTTGAGACTTAAAATATTTTGCCCAATATGTACATTATCGATATATATTTTACCTATTGTCGGCGGGTGTCAGCTGCATCTCTATTAATGATTTTTACAAGTTTCATCTTTGGGGCAGGGGGGCCAACATTCTGGCTTTTCTTTGTGTTTCCAGGCTCCAATCATCGCAACTTTTTAGCAAATCATATTTTTATCACATTAAAATAAACATATAAATATTTGGAGTTTGTTTTATCCCAAAATGTCTCATAAATAGTATATTTTTTGTATTTGTAGACTGAAAATGAAATATTTTGATATCTATGCATTCATTATGCATAAGCCTAATAATCTGACTCTGGCATTGTGGACAAACTTATTGATGCTATGAATTTGGATTGCAACAAGCAGCTATTAGGAACTATAATAACGCATCTACGAGATAAGTGGCGCAAGTCATATTGCAGCATGGCTCGATTTGAAGAAAAGAACAAAAAATGGCTGCAAAGCCATGTTCCTGAAAATTTAAATGTAACACCAATACCTATTGGAAGACCAAATAAGACAAACTTTGATGACTACTCTACTAAAACCAAAAAACATAAAGTTAGTCACTTAACTAAAATGTATTCTGCTTCTGCGTTACAATTTGCTTCAGAAATTAAACGGAGAAAAGAAAACCACACTAAAAAAACCTCAAAAAAAGATTGTAGAATGTCTAAAGATGAAGCTCTTTGTCTTCTTTTAGATGCTAGATTGACAAAAGCTTCCTACCAAATTATTCGAAATCAAGCAGTTGAAATGGGAGTTGATATTTATCCTCCATATAATGATGTTTGAAATGCAAAGCTGTTATGCTATCCTGCAGATATATCTGTCTCAGACTTTTCAGCTAAAATAAAACTGCAAGCTTTGGTCGATCATACAGCAAATAGAATATGCAAGGCACAGTATGATGTCCTTAGCACTGAAGGCACTCCAGATAGACTTTCTCTGAGATACAAAATAGGTTTTGATGGTGCCACAGGACAGTCTATATATAAACAAATATCGCAAGGAACAGTAATAAGAAATTTAAACAATGAGCAGGCACTTTTTATTACTTGCCTAGTGCCATTGACCTTGTGTGGTTTTTTAAATAGAAAACAGTACCCAGCTTGGCGAAATCCAAGACCATCATCATCAATGTACTGTAGACCTCTGCGTTTTAAATTTGAAAAAGAAACGGCAGCAGTTTCTAAATCAGAATTAGATCTCATTAGGGTTGAGATTTCAAACTTGCAAGATACTTAAGTTGATATAAATAATAAAAAAAATCAAAATACATCATATAATACAAATTACTATGATTGATGGAAAACTTCATACTGCTCTTTCAGATGTTACAAATTCATGTCAATACTGTACTATATGTGGGGCAAGTACTAAAGCAATTAATGATATTGAAAAAATGGTTTTGAAAAAGGGTATGGCAGGTAGTTATTCATTTGGTTTATCATCCTTACATGCTTGGATTTTTTGAATGTTTATTACATATTGGATATGAAATAACTTTGAAAAAGTGGCAGGCAAGAACTGCAGAAGATAAATCTAAAGTAAAGGCTCTGAAACAACAAATTCAAAATAGATTAAAAGATGAAATAGGCTTAATAGTTGATGTTCCGAAATCTGGTGGTAGTGGAACATCAAATGATGAAAATACAGCTCGAAGAGCATTTCAAAATGCGGAAAAGTTTGCAGAAATTTTAAATATTGATGTTGAACTGATTTTAAATTTGCATATTATATTGACAACAATTTCATGTGGTTTAGATATTGACACTGATTAATTTGAGGCTTTCTGTTTAAAAACAGCTCGACTTTATGTTCATCATTATCCTTGGTACTATATGCCACAATCTCTTCACAAAATTTTAATCCATGGTTCTGAAATTATCAAAAGTTTAGCATTACCCATTGGTATGTATTCTGAAGAAGCTCAAGAAGCACGCAATAAAGACTTTCAAAACTATCGTGAACATTTTGCAAGAAAATCACCGTGTGAAAACTAATCAAGATTTGTTAAATCGACTTCTGTGTACATCTGATCCATGTATTGCATCTCTGAGAAAGACAGCAGGAAATCACACCAAAACAAAAAACTTACCAGCTGGAGTTATTGACTTATTGAGGTCATCCACAGATGATATTAGTTTATAAATGTATCTTTTATATCTTTATAATTTTGGAAATGTCTGTACCTATATGAAAGTGTGACTGTAAATTAAAACAATTAGTTATGCTCAATCCTATTAGAATCATCAAATTAATTTGCATACCAATTTTAGAAATATTTGGCTAAAAATAACCCTTAGGAACTAAGCATAAATAGGTGTTGCTATGCAAATGGGGTTGCCTTGGCAACCACACCAAAAAACAATGCTCGTTTAAATTAAAATCATTCAATTAATTTATATACTAATTTTTGGGGCCTATGGATGAAAGGAAAAAAAGTTATGACTTTTTTCCAAAAATATGGGATTCTGGCCCACTGTGAGATCGGCTAATATATGATCGTTTTACCGCATAATTCCGCAAAATTAAAAAAATATCAAAATAATTTTCTTTTAATTTTCAGTGCCAAAGGTTAACAAGATACTTTAAAAAAATATTTCATAAAAAGTCCAAAAACTAAACATGGTAAAACACAAATATCTTTAAAATTGAATAAGCTACCAAGGCCAGCGCAAAGGAGTGAGGGAATGGGGTGGTTGGTTTTGTGTGTGACATCCCATCAATGAACTTTTAGCGCATTTAGTAAGCCAATTTGACTCTTTTAGATAAGTAAGTCGGCAAAAGTAGATTTTTAGAACAGTCACTTGGTAAATTTAAAAAAACAAGGTTTTTTTTTCTTTTTTCTAGTCAGCTAAATTTATAACGGCGCTACCTACTTGTGCCGGCCTTGTAAGCTACAGTATATTACAATAATTCCTTTTTATTATGTGCCACTTTTTTGGATCCAAATTATAAAAGTTTTCAATTCTTTGAAAAGCATGAGAAATTAAAAATATTTAAAATGCGTTAGATAGTTTTTGTCGGAATTCCATTTGACAAAAGTTTGTTTATTTAATTTCAGTTAAAATGGTGACAATCAAATCAAGTTATTATTTGACGATGAAGATGATGATTCCGGAAATGATAGTGACAAAATCATAAGTTTTGATTTAAAAATAGAAATCAGTGGTTATATAAAATTGTCAATAAATGAGCAAAATGTTTTTACAATTTTGGTATCAAAATAAACATGTGTTTCCAATATTGTATTGTATTTCAACAATGATTTTATGTACGCCTGCTACCAGTGCACCAAGTGAACGCCTTTTCTCTCACGCATTAAACACTTTGCAATGCAATGCGAAACTGAATGTTTTCAAATGTTGAAAATATGTAAGAAAGTTTCGAATTTTTTAATTTAGTTTTAATTCATTAAATTTAATACTGAAGTTTTTCCTTGTAATAAATATTTTTTAATACATTTTATTGTTCTTAAATAAATATTAAATTTAGTATTTGAACTCTTTTGCGTGAAACTGTTTTTTTGTTTGTTGCAAAAATGTAAAAAATATAGTTTTTTAAATTTAAAATGTGTTTAATGGTAAACAAAATTAAAATAAAGAAAATTAATGTGTGATTTTAATGTTCTCGAGTGTGCGTTTTTATCATAAAGTTCCTTAAAACTGCAAACTTTTTTTCTACCTTATTATTTTGATAGTTTGATTATTTTTTTTTTTTAATATTAATTTATATATTCTTCAGTATTTTTTTAAACATCTATCTTATGAAAAAATATAAAAGTAAATATAGTAAGAAAAATATTGAATTTTAATTGATAATTGTTTTGACGCGGTTTTACATGTATTTTAAAGTGCTTAAAAATTACGCATTGCATCTTTCAAGTAATTAAAATGTCATAAAGAATTTCCTGGTTTTAAAAGGGACCGCAGCTACTTATCATTATTCAACAGTTAAGTATTATTTAATACACATTAAATACACTATTCAACGACTTATATTGCGGAAATTGCATTCTAAAATGCAAATACCAATCTTCCTTTTAAATTTTGCAAGTCTCGCCAACCGACGAACAACTATACTCTGAAAACAATAAATATATTCATAATTACTTATTTAACGATTATTTAACCTTTTGGGTTTATGTCAATACTTTCGCCTGCCTAACTGTAGTGTTTGCGGGTTATAATAGTCAGGAGAGAAGACGCAACAATAAATGTTTGTATGTTGTGGGAATGTTTGTAGGGGAAATCGTAGATTTGTTGTGAAAATTAGAGATTGAATCCATTCCTATAATATGGTAGGGGACAGGGCTGTCCTCTGCCATATAATAGGAATGGATTCGTACTGAACGACGAAAGGGGTACAAATGAAAAAAGGGGTACAAATGAAAAAAAAGAAAGGGGTACAAATGAAAAAAGCTTTTTTACCATTAAAATTTCACCAAAGAAGGTTTTTTTTTAAAAAAAAAAAAACAAAGTTCAGTTTTACCTGACAGAGTCCCAAATTTTCCAAATTACCGACAAAACCGACATAATATTGTAAACGTGGGAAGGTGCCAAAGCCCCCGTCGGTACGGCCTTGGCAGGGGAGATTATTCTTGATGTGCGATTATTATTGCACACTACCTATAGGACGCAGCACATAAAAAATATAAGTTAAACGTTCAATAGGCGTACCAAATTTGATTTAATTGACTAAAGAGCATTATTTGTACATTCTTTGCTGATTGGGTGTTTATAAGCAGTTGCAACAACCTCATAAGCAGTTGTCTCCGAGCTGGGAAAAAATAAAAATAATTGAATAATGCTTAAAACATATTCTTTTGAATAACAGTTTAATTCGATTGAGTTCTAGGATTCACAATTAGTGTTTAATTACAATAAAATAATATTTAATCGCTTTAATAATGATTCCTCGTGTGTAAAATTTTTATACCAAAGATTATTTCTTTTTTCAAGCACTAAATCTTGCTTTAGTCGGCTAAATTTAAGTTACACTAAATATTTAATCGGGTAAATTTAGTTAACTAAAAGGTTAGTAGACTAGTTTTAGTCAACTAAAAAGTTATTCGACTAATTTTAGTTAGACTAAAAATTAAGTTGGGTATTTTTAGTTAGAGTAAAACTAACCTTAACTCCCACTCCTAATTAATTTTGTGGTTTAAAGATTTGTGCTGATACCGCTGTTTTGATGTTTATTGAAATTTTAAGCTTTTCTATATATGTTATGTATATAGCATCAATAGAACGTTAAAAATGTTTAATTTTGTATTTTAAAAAATTGGAAAAGATTTAAAAAATAATAATTAATTTACAAGGGGAACAGGATTTGAACCCTCGCATTGTACTTTAGAGGCGCAGCGCATTTTGCAGCGCAGCGAGCAACCCCTTTGGTAACTAATCTGCCAATTTATAACGCTATTTAATAATAATAAAAAAGACGGAATAACTTTATAAAACGGCAAATAAATGCTATAAACTAAAATTAAGAGAGATTTTGCCGCAATGCAGATTTTAAATAAAAACAAAACTTTACAAAACTAACCACTTCGACCACTAAGGCGCATTGTTCGATAAATGTTTTAACACTATCTAATAAACAAGAGAATTTACAAAACGGCAAATAAACGTTAAAAATCAAGTTTAAGTATATGTTGCCGCAATTTAGTTTTCAAGTACTCGAATTGCGAATCATTAACTATAGAGACAATAAACCAAAAAGAATAAAATTCGTTTATAACAGTTTTATATCGACCACCCAATGGCAGTTACAAAAAAATTTAAAAATGATTTAAGGCGAATATTAATTCAAACCTCTAAAAAACATCTATACTTACTCAGAGACTTTAATTTAAACTTGATAAATTTAAACACTGATAACCACGTAAAAGATTTTATAAATACTCTTTCTCAATTTAGTGCTTACCCCATGATTAACAAGCCGACGCGTGTAACTCGAAAAACATCATCTATTATTGACAATATTATCACTAATAATTATAGTAACTCAACAATCAACAGTGGTATAATAAAATCGGATATTAGTGACCATTTTCCTGTTTTTTAACAGCAAATACTAAATGATGTATAAATAAAAAAACCCATAAGAGTATACATAAGGCATGTAAACAAAGACTCGATTGCAATTTTTAGACAGCTTTGCGTGAAATCAATTGGGAGCTTTTGAATGATTGCAATGACACATGTAGCGCATACGATTTCTTTATCCGCGTCTTTACAAGACAATATGATAAAGCTTTTCCTAAAGTTCGAAAAAATATAATATCCAAAAGATTGCATAGCCAGTGGATGACTAAGGTCTTTTAAAATCATCAAAAAAAAAAAAAGCTTTACGAAAAATTTTTAAAAAAAAAAAACTCTGAAAACGAAACTAAATATAAAAACTACAAAAACTATTTCGAAAAAATAAAAAAGCAATCTAAAAAAAACTTCTATTCTGGTCTACTTCAGAAATCATTTTGAAATGCTAAAAAAACTTGGACTATAATAAAAGATATTACAGAGAAAACAAAAATTACATCTAGCAACCTCCCTAATTGACAGAAAACCGATAAAGGTGAAATTTTTAATAAAAAAACAATTGCTGAGAGACTGAATAATTTTTTTATAAATGTTGGGAAAAATTTAGTCAAAGAAATCTCTCCAAGTAGCAAAACATTCCAGTCTTTTTTGAAAAAATCAGATTTTATTATGGACTATCCGGAACAATCCATTGAAGAACTTCGTTCTTCTTTTGACATGCTTCATACGAATAAAAGTGCAGGTCTTGATGAAATTAATGAAAATGTTTTGAAAAGTGTCCTTGACATTATCGAACTGCCTTTTTTCATTATTTTTAAACTTTCACTAAAAAACGGGGATTTTCCTGATCAATTAAAACTACAGGCCCATCTCAATTCTCTTCTGTTTTTCAAAGGCTCTCGAACGTATTATGTATAATAGAATATATAACTTCATTGATAAAAACAATACTTTATATACTAAACAGTTTGGATTTCGGAGAAATCATTGCACTAAGCATGCTGTGATGCATTTGGCTAGCAATATTTTAAAAGGATTTGATGAATGATACACTTAGAGTTTTTGTTGATTTATCGAAAGCATTCGACCACGAAATCCTTCTCTATAAATTAAAAAATTATGAAATTCAAAATACTAATCTAAAATGAATCGAGTCTTATCTACAAATTCGTAAAAAATGTGTGACGTATGATCTAACTTGTACGCAGTTAGAAGTTATTAGTTATGGTGTCCCTCAGGACTCAATACTTGGTCCTCTACTGTTTCTTCTATACATCAATTACATCCACTTATCCTCTAAATTCCTTAATTTTGTTCTTTTTGCTGATGATACTAATATTTTTTTTCGGGGTCTAATTTAAAATTTGTTTTTTCTACTGTAAACACAGAGCTAATTAATCTCAATGAATGGTTTAAAGCCAATAAACTGTCCGTAAACATTTATAAAACTAAATATATTCTGTTCACGAAACCTTCGAAAACTGATAACATACCCCTAAAACTTCCTGATTTATTTATAAACAACATTAAAGTAAAAAGAGTTCATTCAATGAAAATCATAGGTATAATATTTGACGATCATTTAAACTGGAAAAATCATATCCAATTTGTGGAAAACAACGTTTCAAAAGCTCTTGGGATCCTTTTCAAAACGAAGCACCTTTTGAATATAATGTGCTTAAAAAGCTTGTATTTTTCATTTATTCATAGTCACATTAGTTATTGCAATATAGCGTGGGCAAGTCATTATTCATCCTCTTTAAAAAAAATTAATACCAAACAAAAACAAGCGAGCCGGTTAATTTTGAATGCAGGTAGATATGCATGCGCCGAGCCTTTACTTAAAAAAATTAATGTTTTAAATATTTATAAACTAAACATCTATCAAAATCTGTTATTTATGTTTAAAATTCATAACAACATGCTTCCAACATATTTTCAACCTCATTTAACCTTAATTAATCACAGATACTCTACAAGACATTCCATTGGCAACTTTTCATCCCTTTCTACAACATCCCTTAGAAAAACAGACTTCTCAATTACATGTCGAGGACCACGTTTGTGGAACTATTTCCTTAATAGAGACATAAAAAACATGACTTTAATTGAACTATTTAAAAAAGCAGTTAAACGATACTTGTTAGGTTTAAATAATAAAAACATTCTTTCATTTTTTTAAAAACATTTATATATCGAATTGTTAACACGTATATATGCATCTTATAACTTATACATTTTATGAGCTTTTGTATGTTATAGTATGTACAAAACTTGTAATATGTATAAAACTTATACAACGTATATTTTAGGAACTTAATACGTAAATCTTATTTGATATTTTCACGAACTTAGGAGCAGGGTGATAAGACGCATTGTCTTTTACTTGCTCCTGTCAGAATGTAAAGATTTAATTTTTAATTTTTACAAAAAATATTGTAAAATGATTGTTTATTGACGAAATAAATATAATATAATATAATATATATAAAATCTATAAAATCTAAGTAAAAGTAAAATTGTAGAACTATAACTAACTAGAATATGCATTTCTTAGTTTGATATCTTAGTTTATATGCTTTCGCATTTCTTAGTTTGAAGTTTAGATAAGTTAGATGTTTGTATACATTTTTGTTCAAATTTTCTTATAAAAAAGTGCTGCGACTCTTTCTCGCCATTACTTGGGTGTAATGGCTATCGTGAGTTCTCTGTAAAACACTGAAGAATGGTTAACGGTAGCATTAAAAATATTATAGGATATATAGGATAAGCAGCGAAGCGTTATTTATAATAAGAGTTAGACAAAAAAGACGTCACAAAGCGAATAAAACTTGCGTAAAACGAGTGCAATTTATTGTTGAAGATTAAAAGTATTACAAAATACTCTTTTTTTCTCTAATAGGAATAAATAAAAATTTAAAGAATTTTTTTGCGTTCACGGGAATTTAATTTTTTTAGTTTCTTATTTATAGTTTAGTAGAGCGGCCGTGGCGCAGTGGTTAGAGCGCTTATTTAGAATTACGAGATCAACGGCTCGAAGCGAGCTCTAGGCATATTTTACGCCATTATTAAGAATGGAGGCGTGAACTTCCTATTTATGCGGAGACGAATGAATAAGCGCGAGTTTCTCAAGTGCAAAATGGCATAAGTGCGAATGGCGTAAGTGAGAACTGGTATATATGCGAACTGGCATATATGCGAATTGGCATAAGCGCGAACTGGCATAAGTCCAAAGCAGTTACAAAAACTGGCACAAATGCGAACTGGCTTAAGTGTGAATTGACATGAGCGCATCGAACAAATTTGCAAACATTGGCATAAGTGCAAATTGGCATAAGTGCGAAGCCGTTACAAAAACTAGCATAAGTGCTAACTGGCATAAGTGCGAATTGGCATAAGTGCGCCGAATAAAATTTACAAACATTGGCATAAGTACAAATTGGCATAAGTATGAATATGACATAAGTGCGAAGCAGTTACAAAAACTGGAAAAAGTGTAAACTGGCAAAAGTGCGAAGTATCCGTAAGTGCGCCGAATAAAATTGCAAGTTTTAAAATAAGTGCAAATTTTTATTTCGCTCTTATGCCAATTCGCACTTATGCCAATATTTGCAAAATTATTCAGTGAACTTATGCCAGTTTACACTTATGCTAGTTCGCACTTATGCCAGTTTTTGCAACTGCTTCGCTTTTATGCCTGTTTGCATATATGCCAATCTTTGCAAATTTATTCGGCGCACTTATGCGAATTCGCATTTATGCCAGTTCAAGTTTCTGTAACTGTTTCGCACTTATGCCAGTTCGCACTTATGCCAATTCGCACTTATGCCAATTCGCACTTATGCTAATGTTTTCAAATTCTTTAGGCGCACTTATACCAATTTGCGCATATACCAGTTTGTACTTATTCTAGTTTTTGCAACGCTTCGCACTTATGCCACTTTGCACTTACCCCACTTCGCGCTTATTCAGCCTCCCGTTTATGCACTCTTTTGCGTATTAAAAGAAAAAGTAAATTCATTCATTAGATAATATTGGAATAATAATAATAATATTGAGGTTTTAACAACAAAAAATTTTTATAACTTAAGTTTTAAATTAAAGTTACTTGTATATTCAAAACCAGCATATAAACCCGCTTCTTTTGAGTCCCAGATTGACGTAGCTGTAAAAAAATAATTTTACTAATAGTAAAGGACCCTTCAAGAACTCATCTATATCCAAATATATTTTATTAACTTTCTTTTATAACTACCAGAACATCTATCGTGTGTCACGTCCAATCTACTTTAGAATTTTACTTTGTTATGTAAATATTTATTTTAAAGTTTTCTTTTGTTACTTTAAAAAGAAACAACAAATATTCAATTAAAAACAAATTTTGGACCTACCTTGATTTATGCACCATGAGTCGAATTTTAGTCAAATTCTTTAGTTAAACTATTATCTGGAGGCAAAAACAATTAGTAGCAACAAGTATATATTAAAATACATCAATTCACATACCATACATTTATTTCACAAGACTATGTATATTTTTATACTCTTTGATTTATTTCAAATTTAATCTAATGATATTTTAGTGTTAAAAATCTGTGACCTTGAAAAATTTTCGAACCCTCTAAAATATTATAAATCTAAATTTAAAATCTGCTGATGAATATTAATTTAGTTTAGAAAAGTAATAACAAAAAACTCAATAACTTATAGCCCAAACATTTAAGGTTGGGGAAACAAGTTTTAGGGTTTTGCCGTTTCTTAGATACAATAATTGCAGTTTCTAACAAAATATTTTCATTTAATTTAAGCACAAATATGCTCAAGTTTGAAACTTTCCTAATGTCTAAAAATCACCTATCTTAACAACAACAAAAAAAGCCACTGCGATCCTTAGCGTAATTCAACGTAATATATTCCAAACTTAATATATAGCATTGCATTTTTGGATTACCTGAGAGCAAACAATTAATTAAAATCTTTAACACTTTGTTGTCTTTGAGTTTTTTTTTTTCAATACTATGTGGATTTATATTACAACTACCAACCCGATTGGTCAAATATAAACATTTTCAAAAGCCGACGCGTCAGATTTATATATCAACAGTTTATAATCCACAACTACAATTTGTATAATTAAGTAACTCAAACGTGAAGTAATACGTTAATAACAGCTTAACAATAACTTATTGTAGTTGCTCACAATAACTTATTGTAATTGCTCAACTTTACGATTACGTGAATAAAAATTTAAGCAATTTTGCTCAAATTTTTATTCACGTAAAGCTGAGCAATTACTCCGAAAACGCAATTACTTTTTTTTATTCACCCGGCCTAAGGCGTCTAACCGACTAACGTTTTAAAAATTTTTAATATTTGTCTATCAAATTACGTTATTAAATTGTCTCGCTATTGTTATTGAAATAATCCCAGTGACAACTTTTTGTAAAATAATTCGTTTAAAAGTCTATAATACCTCCTAAATGTTTCTAATGATAGAAAGCTTTTAACTTCCATATGATTTTTAATATCATGATATAAAGGGAAGCAGGTTAAGGGACGTTAAATTGGCCGTAAATTTAGAACGTAAAGTTTTTTTGACTTAAATCTCTTTAGCCAATTTTTTTATAATAAATTAACTAAAAATAGCTAGCTAACTTGTTATAATGAAGTTATAAAGTATCGAAACAGAATAATATAAAACATTTTTTATTAAAACTTTTTAAACATCGCATGTCCCTTTAATAGAGTCGTCCCGAAGTAATCTTAAAGCGGAGGAAGGGGTAGGGGAGGGAAGAGTTGAAGTATGTGTTTTTTGCAAAGTAAATTCTTTAAAAGTTTTTTTGCCGACTAAGATCTAAATTAGAAAAAAAAAAGAAAAAAAAGAAGGTTCTTGTTGGCTGACATTTGCCAACTGCCGACTATAGACCCCATTTTGCCGACTTTGTAAATGCTCAACTGTTTAGAAACATACGTTTCTCAACAGTTACTATAGACTGGGTGAATAAAAATAAGTAACTGCTTTTACTCAGAGTTTTTGGAGTAATTGTTCAGCCTTATGTGAATAAAAATTTTAACAAAATCAAATTGGTCAGCTTTTCGTGAATAACAACTTAAGCTGTTTTGCTCAAATTTTTATTCACGTTAGTTAAGCAATTTACTCCAAACACGATCTGTAATTGCTCAGCTTTACATAAATAAAAATTTGACCAAAATTGTTTAAGTTGTTATTCACGTAAAGCTGACCAATTTCTAAGTAAAAGGAGTTTCTTTTTTTATTAACCCAGGCCTTATGTTTCAGGTATCTGGGTGTGTAAACTCAACGGACTATTTTGTAAACTCAACAGACGTTGATGTTTAAAGTAAAGTGTAATTGGTGTGTTAACTCAAGAGACTATTTTGTAATGTCACATATATATGTAAACATTTATGTAAGATTAAACAAGTATATTTGTCAAATTTATAGTTACAAACAAAGTTTTAAAAATTAGTTTGTATGCTAAGATTGTTGGGTTATGGTTTTAGCCTATGTCATTAAATTTAGATTGGTTATAATAAATTAACAGAATAACACATAATGTAATGTAATTCATTTAAACTATACAGCAAACAGATAAAAAAGAAAGTAATGTAACAAAAACATTTTAACTTACTTTTTATTGGGTAAAATTATTTTTTACTAGTTAAACTTTACTTTCATTGTTTTAAATAAGTTCTGCAGTTAAAGCATGTAAGTTGTAAAGTAATTGCAGTGTGGTATTTTATCTTTAAAAGAGATCAAACAAAACCGATCAATTGTTTTTTTTACAATAGATGACGACGCTATTTATAATAGATATGCAGTTCTGAAATATTACCGGTAATTATATTGTTAATTGAAAAGTAGTTAAACATTGACGCGTAACCAGGAACAAAACCATTCTTTAATAAGTTTATAAAATTTTTGCCACATTTTTGCCGATAAACAAGTTCTTATTGTTGCATTCTATATTAATTATGTTTTTGAGCATAATTGACCACAAAAAGTCGCTGCATTGTTATTTGTATTGTCGTACATTTTGTGAGGCTCACCCAAACTTAAATATCAGTCTGTAGCTAAAAGTTGTATTTTTGGGATCTTATATTTTTGTAATGAAAGAGTAATATACCTTAAAAACGTGGTTTCTTAGTAAACCGAATGTGGAGATTACAAAAAAAAACATTACAAATTTCATATTATTTCTTCATTTTAGTCTATGGTTCACTAAATACGGTAACAAATTCAACACCATAAATTTTTTTCTGCTTTTTGTAGGGTCATACTCTAGAACAAAGGTTTTTTAGTATTGTTATTTTTGTCTCAAGGTTCTACGTACTATCATATTGATATGGATTAAAAATCAGCTTTTTTATAAATGTCTTTTCTGAGTTATTTTGAACGCAATTTAGCGACAAAAGTAAAATGCCCTAAAATAACGTATGTTTGAACCCCTAAAACTCAATGTGGGCTAATTTTTTTTTGTTTTTTTAATTGCATCGTTGGAAAGCACTTATTTTACACTTCTAGAAAGAATAAAAACAATTTTGTAGAAATTTTTCCAATGAACTAAAAAAATATAGTTTTTATGAGCTAAGTAAAATTTACGAAGTCATTAATATTTTAAAAACAATATCAAGGTCCGTAAATTAACTATTGCCGTGTAGAGCTAATTTTAGTAAGTATATTTTTATTCTACGGAAAAATCACTCTAAAATAATTCCAAATATTTAAGTTTATCACAATCATCTAATACTAGCAGAAAGCAACCCGTAATACGGGTTATGGTCGGTCTGTTACATAATTAATTTAGTTGCGAAACTTTAACTAATACCCTTTTAGAAAAAGGCCTTCAAATTGAAAAAATTAATCCATCTGTAAAATTAACATCGAAAGTATGGACGTAAAATAATTTACCAATTATTATTTAACATTATTTGAGTAATTTACAACTGACATAGGTCATATCAGTGTAAGACAGAACCATTTTGTGCGGCCGTGGCGCAGTGGTAAGAGCACTTGCTTTATAAGCAGAAGATCCAGGTTTGAAACGAGCCTTGGACATATTTTCGCGTCACGGTAAGAGAGGAGGCGTAAACTTGCTGATTAATTGCACTTCCGCGGTGCTCTGTGACAAGACCGTAAGGACTTGTCACAGAACACCGCGGAATTGGTGCTCTGTGACAAGTCCTTACGTCTTATTAATTTTCCTTGACATTCCTAAGTTTAACACAATGCGTTTTTAGTTGGTATTGTGGTTTATCCTCCTCCGGCTAATTGCCATATAGAGGCCACATTACCAAGGCCCGCAAAGACAGGTTCAGCTCCAAATGGAGCGTCATAACTCGCTCTACGGACCAAGAGTAAAGTGAGTTTAGGAAGAACGAAGATATGTTAGAGTGAAAGACAGAAGTAGTCGTGTTAGAAAGATAGCATAAAGAAAGCGGAGAGGATTGCACTCAATGTTAGGAGGTGCAATAGGTTTGTTTATAGTTGTTTTATTTACATATGACTGGGAATACATATGACTGGGAAACACAATGCGTTTTTAGTTTGATATGTCGCATATTTTATCCGAGCCTTATAGTCTTGTAAACGCTATTTATTGCAGTTTAACAGGAAACCACAATCAATTAAGTCTTAAATCCATTTTATTAGCCAAAAAGTCTTAAAATTGTTTTTTTACAAACTTACAAACTTTTTATAAACTTACAAAATACTATCATATTTTGCTACCAAAAATGATTTAAATCGGCTTTTAATGGTTACGTTAGGTTCATAGTTTTTAACGTGACATAATTTCATGTTTGTAAACCAACATGACCGGACCCAGGGGTTGTAAAATCTGCTCAACACAGACCATTTATATATTATTTATATGGCCTCTTTATTTCAATTATTTTTAGTAAACGGAATTTTGCTAAAATAATTTACTACCATTTACTAAAAATTCCTTTTGTTACTCGAAGATTCATTTTCTTAAATATTTTGAGACTAATAAAGAGGTCCCTCCCCTCCTTTTGCTTTAATGGTGGCCAGGTGAGTAGAGTTATTTTTATTGAGTAATCAAGTTTTTGATGAATACCTTTTACCAAAATAATTAAATGTAAAACAATGATTTACATATATAAGAATTTTTTCTTTTTTTCCTCAAATGTGTTGCAAATGCAGACTAAACTAATTAATTAGTTAAACACGTTAATAAAACTTAAGTTACTCAATATTCAAAAAATGCGCAAAACTACAATACGGCTATTCCACGTTGTCACGGCGTGACATTTGACTTTTTTTTTGAGGGAAAAAAATCAGATTTTAGTGCATTTAAAATCAAAAATTTAAAAATTAAAAATACTAAAAAATTTCCATAGGCATTACAATTTCTAAAAACAAAATTATTTAGTTTTAATATTTTGTAGACTTTTAGGTATACGCATTAAAAGGTTGCGCCACGACGTGACAAAAATTATCTAGCATTTTCCGTCATTAGAAGAAATGACAGTAGTTCAGCTCTTTAAGAATTTTTGAAATATTGTTTTGTTATGTCTTGGATACTTAAAAGATGTTATAATAGTTTCATAACATTGTAAAAATGTTTTATAAATTTAACTGGAGACACCACATAAATATATCAACGGAGTTTACGTCACACCGTAACGTCACGGTGTGACCAGTACAAAATCTTCTGATAATATTAATACGCTAATTTAATATTATTAGTCGAATTACGTCATTTTTTAGGCTTTTCTATTTTAAAGTAGTTTCTAGGCTTTTCCATACGCGGTTTTTTTTTTAAATTAAATTTACTAACAACGCGTATTACGGGTTGCTTACTGCTAGTAAAATACTAAGACAATAACATTATCAAAAAGACAACTGAAACAAAAGAAACCAATTTATTCGTATTTTTATAAGATTGGTATAACAATAACGTTTAACAAAACAGTTTATTTACAATAACTTCAAAAAAAGTCTTGTAAAATTCAACTACGTTTTTTATTAATTTTTTTCTAGTTAACTAAGTATGATGCACTTGAATAAGGTTTCGTTTACATTTTATCATTAAACTTTTTAAGCAATGGACACTAAATATTCCAGGTGTTTTATAAGCATTATTAATGATGTTTCCAAGTTCTGTGCCATCGAAAGCAGTTTTAATTTTTTCTGCAGCGACTATGAAAACGTTTACTTGACTTTCATCTCTGACGGCTTCATAAAATGTTGTTGCGTCATTAATCAGAGCTTCTCTTCGAACAAATTTTTGTGTTGCTAATCTTTTTATGATTGGTCCTATACCATCGCATGGTCCTTTACCATGAGAGGTTGCAAAGTAATTCTAGCATATTTTAATTTTGTGCTTGCTTTCAAGCCATGGATTTGAAGCTACTATGTAATAGTTTTTAAATTGACTGCTTGGACCATCAGACCAAACTTGAAAGTATTTTACATTTTTTCTAATTAGGTTAGTTGTTAACAAGTCAATAAAATAATTAACTGAACTTCTTGAATGGTTCAAATAACGGCAGGTTTACAAGAGTCACCATGCCAGCTAACAGCAGTAAAGAATGTTACTAATTTTTTGTTCCAATATGCTGAATGAACTTCATCCTGCCAGAAAGTTGAAAAGTTTTCTGCAAAGCCAACTTGTAACAAAACTGAATCAAGATTGCTTTCAAAATTTTTTTTTTGGTTTTTATAACTCATTGATTGTTTTCCTTTTATAAAATAATGCAAAAGAAATTTTGGTAGCATTTTGCAAACATTTTTATACAAAATTATGGCTCTGTCTTTTTTATTGCTTTTTCGAGGTATTTAGTTCCATTAAGTTGCGTAACTTTCTCCCAAAGGTACCAGGTAATTTCTTTATCGTGGTTTTTTTTTCATCTAATTGGTATGTTTTGAAAACTTTCCGTCTTTACAAGCTTCACAAGGATTATTCCAACAATTATCATTTTTCTCGTCACACACTAAAGTATTTGGTAAAGCATGCGAATAAAGGGGAATTTTTAAATCAATGTAATGTAACGCTTTGAGTGACAAGAGTAATCTTTTTATGTTTGAGTAATCTTTTTATGTTTTTGACATGAACGAATATTTCTAGGCATTAAGCTTGATAAAAGTATATGGCCTGGTCTCAAACTAGCAAGCTTGCATTTACAGATTGAAAAATTAGTGTGTTCGTTTTTAAATATTTAATATGCTTTACCTATATTCATAGTAAAATATCTTTTTTTAACTTTCTTTTTTTCTTTATTACTTCCTAAAACAACCAACAATTTTTTTTTTATTACTTCTTAAAACAAACACCAGGTGCCTGACGGGATATACCATCTTGTTCAAAAAAACTAATGACGCATAACTTCGTTTCATCATTAAGAGCATTTGGTCCATGTGTTGGTTGCATATCTGGTAAATTTTTGTTAAACTGAATTGCAAGTTGTTTAACAATAGTTGCTTTTTTATAAGGAGAAGTTGGAAGAGCACGTATTGCTTTTTTAACAGTTTTACCAAGTGTACAAGATAATTTATAAGCAGGAGAGATGTTAGATGTTATTTTAGATAAAAAAACTCTACTCTTTTTTTTTCTTAACTAGTCCTTTAAACGTGATAATTCAAAATAAGAATTTTTTTTTTTTCCGTATTGAGTACTTTTCCTTTATAAAATCCGGACCCAATTTTTGCATTTGTCTTTCTCTATACTTTCTCTGGCGTTCAGCATGTGTTAGAGGCATTTTCATTACTTTCAACAAAGAAATAAACAATTTATTTGTGAAAATTTACTTTTTATAAGAATTACATAAACAATAAACATTCAGAATAACTTCAGCAATGGCGCGACAAAATTTAAGAAAAACTATATAACAAAGGTGCAAGTAAAATATGTCTACATATTTACAGGTACACCTACAAGTTTAATTTAAAAAATGTTAGTTATATTAAAGGAGGTTTCAAAACTTATCCACAAATAAAAAACAATAAAAATACTACAAATGTTAAACTAACATGTTTTTTGCGTAAGATTTTTATAAAAATTAGTCTTTAAAAGGTAAGCCAAGCTGTCTATCAACACGAAACATCACAACAATAACATTAAAATAATAACACATAACAATAGCACATATTTGCACCCTTGATCCTAAAATCCAGTTAAAATAACAAACCAAATTAAAACATAAAAGGCAAAATTAAAAAACTAATTTAGAGTTAACTATATTTATTTTTTTTCATTCAATATTAGTTTTTCAATTATTTCAAATTTAGGACATTAAAACACCCTAGATTTAATGATCAAGATTGCTTACTCTCTCATAAACATTAAGCTAAACATTAACAAACATTATGTTGTTTCCAGAATAATTAAAAAAGGCTAGACAACACAACCTAGCAGTAACACCGCCTGTAACTCTAAAGCAGTAACACCGACATTTAGTACCGCCTGGTAAATACTACCAAATACTATCAATTCACACCTCTGCTATAAGTACACCGTTTGGCTGGCAAGGTTATCAATCTTGCTCAACATAATGCCAAGTCACACCACTTTGAAAACATGCTCTAGTTCTTGAACATGCAACATATAGTTGACCATGAGAGAAACATGGTTTTTTGAGAAATACCCCAACTCTATCGAATGTTTGACCTTGACTTTTATTGTCATTGAATAAGCCAATTCGATAGGAAACTGACGACGTTTCAGAACAAAAGGTAAATTAGAATCTGATGGAGCGAACTGAATTCGAGGCACAAAAACCCATTTACCACCAGAAATAGCTGTCAAAACCTCTGCACCAATATAATTATTTTGAAGAGCACAATCTTTCATTTGAGTACCATTGCATAACCCAGCTTTGAGATCTAAATTTCTAAGTAGCATAATTACACAACCGATTTTTAATTTTAAACAATGAGGTGGCATACTTAAAGGAGTTAAGATGTTCAAAAACTTAACAGGAAAATTTTTCTTTCTGATGAGGAATATCTTTATACGAATAGCAATGTGCTCTTTCAGTATTTAACTTAAACCATGCTGTAAGGTGCATATCATGTTGAGCTGCACAATATAAAGCTATTTGTTCTGCTTTGATAATTATATGCCTTCATCTACCTGATTATCAATAAAATTGATAATCAGGTAGATGAAGGCATATAATAGTGTGTAACATATAGTTTATTGCATATCGAAAATTTGCCACAATGTCTCAGGTGCACTAACATAACGACAATCTAAAAAAGTGTTTACTTCATCATGATTAATTTGTTCATTTATTAAAATATTGGCGCAGTTGTGACCCTTATATATGTATTGTACAATTATTTAACAGCCTGAACAGACATGCAAGCTTCAACATTAATGTGAGCTTGATATTTCTTTGATAACCATGGATTGTAAGATACCACCCAGCAGTTATTTACATTATTACCTTAACAATGATAACCAAACCATTATCACAACGTGTGTATAGTTTGTGTCTGCTTGATTAATCATTCAACAATATAAATATTATATAATTAAATTATATAGTTTTGCCTACAGGCAACTCTGGTGTACATACCTGTATATAAATTTCAAAAATTAATTGACTAACATTTAACATCAATTTTCAATTTAATATGTAATAAATAAATGAAATGAAAATTTTATTTTGATATTTTTTATTTCCTTTTAGAGTTTGAGTTTTTCATTTTCGATTTTTACTATTATACTTTTTTCCCCTCTCTATCAGTGTTTTCACATTTGTGTGAAGCATTTTTATTTGTACCCATTTGGTAAAAAAAGCTGTTTATGTCAATGATTATTAGTTTTCTTTTTTTTAATTTGACCATCACGATCATAGTCTTTAACAAAGTCAACTTCTTTTGTAAGTTATAAATAATACCCTGAATGAAAGCGGTAGTACTCTTGATATAAAATTTTCTTAAATATATTATAATCCGTTTTTTTAAAAAAATTAAATTGAAACAGGGGTTAGAGCACCATTGCAGTTCTCAGACGAGCATTATCCTTTTATTTATGAAAAGACTTTTAAAATCAGTCTTAAGTTCATCAACAGTTTTGATTTCAGTTGCTTTATCCCAAGCATAGTCAAGAAACAGTATGATCAGTATGAAAAAAAACAATATAGTTTGCGGCACGTATACAAAGGTATGACACGGACGTCAAGGAAAAAATTACAAGCTGTGGAATAATAGTACTTATACCGTAAGCAATAATATTATTTTATGTTTAATATAACAGTAGCCTATTACTTTTAATTAACTAAAAAACCATGCTGAAGTCAATGATTCGGCAAAAACTGACCCTGACTTTGGCTTCGAAGCCGAAGCCGAAGCTTCGGTACGTCCCTAGCGGCAGCAGATATGGATTGAGGTGGCAACAGATATGGGTTGCGATGACAACACAAAGTAGTGCTTGTTACAATTTTTTACCAACATTTTTTGTGCTTGTTTTTCTATGCTATAATGTAAGAGTGTATATGGGATGAGTAATAGGCTCCGTGTACCATTTCTGAGGTTAAAAGGGCGTTTTTTTTATTTTGCCTCTTTTTTTATTATTTTTCATTGTGCCAAGTATTTCTTGTTATGGTGTACCATGTAGTATTAATAGTGAGATAGGAAGGTCATGAGTACACAGTTCACTGTATCTAATCAACATATTTGACTATAATTTATAAATTTTAAACATATGAAGTTGACTAAACTTTGAATTTTTTTTTTTTTGAAATAGTCACATTAAAATATTTCGATTGATTATGGGGAATATACAAGAATAGTTAACAAGTCATAGACACAAACTCCGTTTTGCCAACTATATTACCTATAATTTTAGAAGTTTAAAGAGACTAAGCTGCCTAATTTTTTTCGTATTGAGAAAAACATTAGTATGATATTCTTACTTTTTAGTAGATATAAAAACGTCTTTTTTACTTGTCTTTATAATAAATGCTCTCTTTATGATAATCATACTTTTTCCTGTTACTTTTAAAAAAGATCCTTTTTTTTTTTTTTTTTTTTTTTTTTTTTTTTTTTTTTCTTAGAACAACTTTCTTACAAAACAATACAATATTAATTAATCGAATATTCAAAAAAAAATATATATAAAAAAGTATAAAAAAAATATATATATAGTTAGTTATCTCAAATATAATATACCGTTTAACAATACAATAAAAAGTACTATCAAATATTTTTATTTGCATTTAGGAAACACTTATAAAAGAGAATTGTGATCAAAAAAACTCCAAAGCTCCGCAATATAATATAAGATATCTAAAAATTGTATGTGAAAAATGTTGATAAATAAGATAAACTTTCTTAGGCTTTATTGCATATCAATTTTTAAAAAATATCAATTTAGATAAAACGAATATTCGTTTCGAATAAAACTTCTTTTATTTGAAATAAAAATTCATTTCAAATAAAAGAGGTTTGCCATGAATATAACGATCTTTAAAGTTTATTAGATGTGCTAGAAGCTTCTATTGCCGATAAAGAGGGCCTAATAGTCTTTTTTTTAGCACTAGCCCATGCATTTTTTGCGTAATTTACATGGTGTTGGATAAGTGAGTTATAAAGTTGAGTTAAATCATGTTTATTTACAAAATTCGTCACTTTGTATAATATTCCAATATTTTTCGAAACTTTGTTTGCGTAAGATTTCAATATGGTTTTTCCGTGGTCAGATTTTCATCAATGGAAACACTAAGAAAAAGTACAACTTTTGATTGTTTCATTTAAATATCGTCAATATATATTTAAGGCTTATTATTTTTCAAAGATTTTTTTCAATTTGGATTTAAGTGGATAAAATACAGTCTTTTTAGTTTTTTTTATGTTAAATGATAGTTTATTTGACTCCAAACTTTTGAAAATTTATTTAGCTTTATGTTTATATTATGAAAAAGTTTTATAATATTATTGCTACCCAGCTAACAGAGAACGTTCAAAAACGTTCGACCAACGTTTTGAAAATTCAAGTACATTCTATGAACGTTTATAGAACATTCTTGAACGTTCGCAACGTTTGTTGAACGTTTTGTGTTAGCTTTGGTAGACAGAAAAAAGTTTGTGTCATCTGCAAGCATTACTGTCAACAAACTTAAGGCATCATAAATATCATTAATATAAATGAGAAAAAGAAGTGCTTCTAGTATAGACCCTTGGGCGAAACCACATGTTATACCTAGCAAAGTTGTAGAGGAAAATACATCATTTTGCACAAAATGTTAACAATTGCTTAATTTTTTGGAATTTTAGAAAACTATCACTGATTCCATAATTTTTAAGTGTTTTTGTTATAATATCATGATCTATCGTAGACCTAAAGTCCCTTTCAATTAAAAAAAAAATTAGTAATTGTGGCTTGGCTACCATTTACACTTCCCCTCATATGTACTACTTGTTTTAAATTAAGTTTATTCATTAAGTTTGTTTATCTTAACTCAATTTTTTTTTCTGATTATAAAAAACAATAAATTTTAACAAAGAGTTTTATTCAATAATTTTGAAAAATAAAAGCCTAAGTTTCTCGTTTTATAATATACAATATACAATATAAACAGAAAGGGATTCAAAGAAAGCTTGGATGATATTACCTTAACTTTTTCATAGAGTTCCTTCGACAACTTTTTTTTTTAAATTACATTTAATATAACACCTAGATGTTATATTAAATGTAATTAACAGGTACCTGTTGTTTTTTGATATAACAGGATTTAAAAAACGTTTTTCAATTATGTTCTTTTTTAAATTTAAAATAAATAAATAATTGAAAATAGAATATTTAAAATAACATAAAAATTATTTTTTAAACATATTATTGGCCCATAAACCTGAGGTTAAAATTTTTTTATTCAATATTCATGGTTTCAAATTTAACACACCTTACCTTTTGTATCAGTGTAATCGAAAAACAGGTATGTATTGTCACATTATATTATAGACGATATTATAGATAAAACCTTATGCATATCATTGATTTATATTAAAAATAACAATGGCCCTAGAATTGATCCCTGTGGGACACCATATACTATATCAAGAGTTCCTGACTTTTGCCCTATAACATATTGTTTTCTTTTACAAAGTTTTTGATTCACTTCAGAACAAAAATAAAAAGTTTAGTTGAAATACTGTGACCCACAGTATTAAATACTTTGGGGATATTGATGAAAACTCCTAGTACTAATATACTTTTATCAAATGAAGTGGATATTTTATTTCCAAATTCAACAATAGCATATTCAGTAGAACAATATTTTTGAAATCCAAATGATTTTTAAACAAGATTTTGTTTATTGTTAAGTAGTTAAAAACTCTATAGTAAAGAATGTATCACCTTTTTTAAGATCGGGTAAATCTCAGCTAATTTTCTTTCCTGGTTCTTAAATTTTCGAAGAAGTTGCATTGAGTTTTCTAAAAAATTAAATTTTCCTCCCAGGTTTTGTTTTCTATTCCTTCTAATCCCTAAAACCGTAAACTATTAGTTCAATTTCTGCTCTTCAATTCTACTACTTTATCATTAAATTGTTCTAAGATTCGCTAAAGTTTATTTTCTTAATTTTCTTAACGTTATTCTTTAGCTTTTCTTTAGGATTAGTTGATTTTTTTATTACTTTTTCATAGCTGATGTTTTAAAAGTTCATTGCATCATTTATAACAATAATTTTTTTTTAATTTTACTTATATTTTCTTTTCTTAATTTTTCTATTTTTTTCTCAAATTTGTCAATTTTTTCTCCTAAAATCTTTAATATTTTGTTTCCATGGGGTTGGAGTAATTCTTTAACTTTTGAGTGTGTTAAGCTTTTAACTATTTTTAAAACGCGTTGTACTCCGTCAAAACCTTACGCGCAAAAAGGTTAGCGTAGAACTGTGTCAAATGCCTTTGACAAGTCAATCAGAAGAATGCCAACGTATTTGCCTTCAACTGCTAATTTATACCAAAAATCAGTGGTTGAAAGTAATGCAGCCTCACAACTTAAGTCTTATTAAAACCCAAATTATTCATGGTATTTTTATCATTATATTTAGTTAATTATTTTGCTATTACTTTTTCAAATACGTAAAAGCAAAATGATAGGTAACATCAAAAAAATCATAATCCTAGGTCAACTTAAGGTGAAAAAAATATAGTTGATATCTTAACAAATAAATAGGAAATTAAATTTGATAAAGTGGACTTTAAACAATACCATATAAAATATTTTTTGATGTTGTTCTAATTATTAAGGTGCCCCAACAAGTTCTCACGGTCTTTTCAAAGATCATCGCGGAAAAGCATTTAACTAAGAAGTTCACATTTCCTTCCTTACCAATTTTGCAAATGCGGCATGGAAACTATTGATTCTGAGCCAGAAATCTAACTACTGCGCCACAGCTGGTTAAACTTTTAAATGCAACCACTTATATTAGAAAAAATGTTCCTCTCGTCCAACTTTATCTCAATTAAAAATAAATAAATAATAATAATGCTGTTGGAATACTTGAAGCACATAGAATTGATTTTAATTCATTTAATCGAAAATATTTGTCGTATGAATGTTTAGAATAATGAGTTGAAAGCAATAATTCAAAAGTCGATATATTTATTCAAATTAATTTACTTAATTGAATATACTATATATATATATAATTAACTATTTTTCTTACCTTCCTATGGGGGAATTGCCTTTTATGTCAGCTTTTTTAACTTGTATAGTAATTTTGTTACTATACTTAATTACACGTTTAGAGGGTTAACATGATTTAATAACTAACCCTATCGGCACATCTAGTTTCTTTTTCGGAAATAAAACCTATATAGGCACGTGTTTTTCACGATCCAGGCGTAAACCAAAAGCACGTGTATATTACGGGCAGTTTTACTAGAGTTTAACACGTGATTTTTAAGGTTTTTATATGTCGCTTATTTTTATCAGTGGTTTCACATTCCTTACGGAAAGTTATTAAAATATAATCATACGTTTCCATAACGGTGAAACCATTAATACTTTAACTGGTATTTATGGTAAATAGTAATAGTTAATTTCACGGAATAAAAACCATTTAGGATACGTGTTATTCTTTTTGTTTTAGAAGGTTTTAAAAACGCAACAGAAACCAAGCGTAACTGTTTTCTGAGTTGTGCCGGCTGGGAATAATGTAAAGCTTATTTTTATTGATCAATATTAAATACTATTTACAGCTTTTACACTCAACGAACAAATTAGCTTTTTTTTTTTTCTTTTTTTCTATGGTTACAAATATTAAATATAAACAGTATAGATTTTAGATTTAAAATGGTTAAAATAAACTTATATAAAGCTAAAGCAATGTCTTTTTTATGAAAAAATAAAAAAAAATCTTAAGTAAACAACTGTTTATTTCATGGTTACTATCTTAAGTTATGTGTAATTCATGCAAACGTACTATTAAATATGCGCGCTTGAAATTATCGGAACTGTGAAGACCGATGATATATATTACCTATGATATATTTACATATCATTGGTGGAGACATATAATATTAAACTTAATTTGGAGACAATTAATATTAAAAAAAACATTAAAGCTTTTATTAATAATGTTATTTTTAAATACATTCTTATTAAAAAATACGAACAAATATATTAACAATTTCAACGCATCAGCAAATAGTATTTGTGTTGTGTAAAAATCTTATTTTGTTGTTTAATAATTTTAAATGAGATGAACTTTTAAGAGCGCAGTTCTTTTAGTTTTATACAGGTTTTATGATGTTTTATACAAGTTTTATTTTTAATTAAGTTTAGTTTTATACAAGTTTTATGTTTTATACAAGTTTTATTTTTAATTTAGTTTAGTTTTATAGAAGTTTTATGATGCGCAGTTCTTTTAATTTTAAACAAGTTTTAGATAATTTTTATTCATTTTCAGAAACAATTCAGTAAATGTTATGATTTAATACAGGTTTGAACTGCCATTTATATGTGTTAACTAAAATACAATTGTCTTCTGCAGTCTTGTGGTCCATTTAAAATTTAGAAAAATATTTACTATTAAAACTTGACAAGGAAATGTTGAGCAAAGAAGCGTTATCAAAAAATAAACCATTTGCCAATGTCAGGTTGCAACTTTTTAAAACATGAAGAAGATATAAGATACTAATTATTATATGCCAAAATGAAAGATCTATAAATAATTTATAATAGTATTTACCTTTATTTATATTTATAATAGTATTTACTTTTATTCATGTGAAGGAAGGCAGGGGAGGGGAAGGGCTTCACTCCCAGCCCCCGCCCCCTTCTCCCCGGTGTTTTTAGCTCTGTAAAGAGGTCAACTTTTTAAACGTTTGGTGATTTTTTTATTAATGCAGAGTTGTTGATATAAGATATAGTTAATATCGAATATTATATATATATATATATATATATATATATATATATATATATATATATATATATATATATATATATATATATATATTGAATTATATTGAATATATGTATTGAATTATATCTAATATTGAAAAATAAAGATAATTCTAAGATAAATAAACATTGATTTTATCAAAAACAAAATTAAAGGGAAAAATAGATGTTAATCGTTATTTGCGCCAAGATATTTTAAATAACAATGTAATCAATTGACGTAATGACCACTTGATTCAATTCTTTTACAGATTTAAATTATTACCATTACGTTGCGGTTTATTGTTTCGTCAACACTATTGTTTTTTAAATTAATAAAAAAACCCAATTAAAATTAATACATATCATAGGTAAATTTTTTCGTGTTAAGAATCGGCTTGTTGTTTTAAGCAAAAAATCGTTCAATTAAAAGTAAGTTTTTTTAAGAGTATTTATAATAATATATAATATATAAAGTAATATATAAAATAACATGATGCATAAACACATGCAAAATTGAAACTGATTCAAAGGATTTATTTTCAATATTCAGAAGAATTATTTTCAATATTCGAAGGAGTTATTTTCAATATTTAAAGGAATTATTTTCAATATTCGAAGGAGTTAAGAACAATATTTATAGATATTGTAAATACTAGTGTCTTTTTAAAACTAGTCAATGTAAATATCGTACGAAAAAAAAAAACGTTTAGTAAAAGTCAATTTATTTATGTTGACATAATCATGGCCAACTTAAATTACGCGGCCTGATTTGTTGCATTTACCGAAAAAAATTAAGAAGCTAGTTATTTTTACGGCTTAAGTATAAAATCTTAATTTTTGTTATGGTTATAAGTCTCGTTGGCACTCTGTATGTTTTATTCTTATTTTATTAAATAATTTAAAATTAGTCCGTTTTCTTCGAGTTCTTACATTATTTTGTGCTGGATTTTTTGTTAACTGATAGCCTACACCAGTTTATTCCAATAACATAGAATACTGAAATAGGTTTTCCGATAGCTAAATATCAACATGCTGCTGAAAATAAACTTACATATTGCTAAAATTGCCTAAAACTCTCCATTGAAAAAAGAAGTCAAAATTTTGTAATTTTGTATTTATTATAATTAAAATTAAAAGGAGAAATAGCTTTTTACTGGGAATATTTATTTGGTTTTTCTCTCACTTGATATTTCTTTAATGAATATGTAATTTCTTTTTGCAAATTATTATAAAAATTATTTTTAACAGTATGAGATCTATATTAGATTCCCCACTTTTGGTGTTTTTCATTAGTAAAATTGACACTTCCTTAACAAATCTTTAAAATTTTTTCTCCTAATTTTTAATTGAAAAAGAATGAGTGCAATGTTTTATTAGAATAAGAGAAATAACGTATAAAATACTAAAAAGATGACAAAAAAATTAGACAGAGGTTGAATTGGATGTATAGGTTCTTCTCTGTATAAAATAACGTTTATTGATCATAAGTTCAACATCAAAATCTTTTTGATTTTTTTTTACCAATATTACTTGCTCTAGTATATATACATCTGTGCTATCTTTAGAAAGCTGACACTGGTATTTATGCAGACAACTAAGCAATATCTTGCAAAATATTTTAAGTAATATCTTGCATAATACTTTTATCAAAATTCTGGTTAATGCTTTCCGGGAAAATTTGTTAAAATCATATATATATATATATATATATATATATATATATATATATATATATATATATATATATATATATATATATATATATATATATATTTTTTTTTTTTTTTTTTTTGCAACTTGTGTTTATTTTGTGTTGCTTTAGTTAGAGTTTTTGGTAGTTTTGAAAATTTTATAAAATTGGAGGCAAAAATTGCGACCAAACATTCGATTTCCAGCCGGAGCTGCTGGTTGTGCTTTCACTTTGAGATTGCCGGATATTAGTACCCTTAAGATCGCACTGATTTTATGTTGGTGATTATGTCGGTTACCGTTGATGTCAGCCATAGTGTAGATAGGTGTTGATTTATTTTTGCGGCAACCAACGTACATTACTTTGCACTTCTCGATGTTGAAGTCCATAAGCCAGTTATGCGACCAACTCACAGCGCTGTCAATGTCCGTTTGCATTTTTTCATAATCAGAGGATGATTGATTATTATTTGTAATTCCTTTGATCTTGCTATCATTGGCGTATAACTTGATATATATATATATATATATATATATATATATATATATATATATATATATATATATATATATATATATATATATATATATATATATATATATATATATATATATATATATATATATATATCGTCGGGGATAGTGCAAATCCGCGGATCTACTACAGGTAGGGAGCGCGTATCTGCATTGCAGATAGTTTTACAGGAGAAGGTTAAAACTGTATATATTTTTTTTTATCAAAACAGATTTTGAGCTCATTTTGGCATAAAGAGTTTTATTGATGTTCTTTTTATAGTCTATTAGGTGTTAATAGTTTTTTAGTTAATAATTTAGTCGCTAGAACACTTACGCGGATTTGATTTAACCACAATTTCACCACAATGGTACCCCATATAGTAAGTAATGCGGTATCGAAATCAAACTAATAATATCACTAATTATTAATATATGATAATCAAACGATAATATGAATTGTAACTTCATAAATAAATCTTTATGATTATAAATTAAGAATAATGTTACTCATTAACATTAAAATGAAAAAAAACATCAAAGAAGTATATGAACTGTTTCAACTACTCAAAAAATAACAACTGTCATCGTAGTTATAGTTTAATAGAATAAAAGGCAATTAATCATTTTTGTAAGATAAGTTGTCATAAAATTCATGGCAATCCTTGGTTATAACACTTTTTAACTGTTGTAAATGTTCATATTTTGATTTTGAGATTGGCAATCTTTCAGTAAAGAGTTGTGGTGGAATCACTGGTTGAACTTTTTTTGGTCTTTGTGGTAATTGTTTGAATTGTTCATTGTAACTTAGTTTGAAATGTACTATTGGAATTGTATTTTAGAACTAAAATATTGTTAACATTTGTTTAATTATAAACCTATTGTGTAAATGCATATATCTAAATATATTAACACAACCTACCCTAAAAACTTTTCACCATCCCATTCTATTTTTCTATGAACTGCCACTTCATCATTTCATCATTAATGAGCAGATACATAATTTTCCTTTTTCTTTTAGCTCTGCTGATTTAAGTTTCAAGACTTTAAGTTTCAATACCTCTTCCAGGACGGATTGTATCATAATTAAAATAGCTTTTAATACTATAATCTTTAAAAAATGTATGGTCTACCATTGCTACCTCATATGGAGATGGATTGCGTCTAGCTTCTTTATTAACTAAAGAGTATTGACTAGGTAAAAATATTTCACAGTGTTTTGACTTTCTTTCTATTACTGAATGAACTGAATCTACCTCCATTTGAGTATGACCCTTTTCTAAAAATTTTTGTGTGATGACTACTTTTTTTTTGCATTGCCAATTGCAGAAGTGCGTTCGAAACAATGGCATTTCTATTTTGTGATGTACATCCATCAGTAAAATTATGATATTTTTTGGGGATTCATTAATTAATTTATCTAAATAATTAACAAAAAATGATGCGTAAGTTGATGCCTTTAAATCAATTGTTGTTTCATCAAACCAATAACACTTTACTTTATTAGTGCAAAGATTGTATATTGTAAAATTATGAACCATCAGTTTTGTTTTAAAATACAAAGCACTGGCTTTCAAGTATGGAAATAATTTCACTGCTTGTAAATCAGCAGTGATAACACGAATTGTTCCACTTTTTGCAGCTATTTTGTGAAAAACTTTTTCCTGTCTAGCTAAATCTTTCCATGATACATGTTGTAGATACTCTTGCTCTGTAATATTTTCTCTTTTATATGAACAACATAGATCACATGCATCTTTCTTTGGTTGAAACATAGCTATGTTTTCTTCTTTCAAAACATCTTCAAAAAGTTTTCTGGAAGCCACTCTCTAGCCATTTTTTGTAGCATTTTTAACATGGATACGATAGAGCTCACGTTTAGACTGTATTATGGGTTCTAGATACAATTTTTTACTTTCTTTTCTGCAGTAGTGAGAAGGCAGTTTAGGCATAGCTCTTAAAAATAATTGTACTAACTCTTTCAAAGAATGGCAAGGCCATGCATTATAATTACGTTTTGTTGTTGTATCCCTATCAAATTTTTCTCCTAGCCAGTACTAACAGTACCTAACTGTCCACTCTTTAATACCCAGTGTTCCTAAAAACGTCTTCAAACATACTCTCATTTTGTTGTTATCTATTTTTAAATAATAGACTTTAGTAATACTTCGCCTTGTATTTGCCCTTTCAGTAGTTTTTGTTATAGTCAATTTTTCATAAACTAAAGATGAAACAAAGATTCTCTTGGCTATCCAGCTCATCTCCAAAAATTTTTAAAAAATGCCTAATCTTACACTTTCTGTAAACCTTTTGAAGTTAATCACATTACTTTTTAAGCTTTTGTTTAACTTACAAGCCTCTAAAAGTTTTTGCACAGGTCTTACAACGTCTTGTAAAAATTTTTCCCGACAAGTCTTTCTAAAACCTGTGTATTCATGACCTAGCATTCTCAAATTCTTATTCCTAAATCTTTTTGAAGACATTTGTTATGCTTTTCGTTTCCTTTCCCTAGATTCAACTGCTACTTCAGGTTCCAAATTTCTTTCATGAAAAAAATCGCTATTGCTGTTTATTGATTGAGTGAAAGCTATCTGCTCAACATCTGTTATTTCAGAGATTTTTATTTGGATCAGCAACAGAATCATCTACTGAAAAGTTTTATCTATCTAATCTAAAAAAATCCATATGCATCAGCTATATAAAAAAAGAAAAAATATTCATAATGATTTATATAATTTGGTAATATTTTAAACTAAATATTGCATTTATCTATACTAGCTAACGTACAAAATATTTTCCTTACAATATTCAGTCATTACTAATGACTAAACTTTGTAAGGTAAACCGTGCAAATGACATTAGCACGGTTTACCTTAATAGCTGTATAGGTTTTTGTATTAACTATATTCAAAAGAATAATTACTGAAATAATTTTGAAACTTAAACTGAAATTTTTTTTAAATACCAATTTTATCTAAAGTTATTTAAAATGCCAATTTTATTTAAAGTTATTTACAATGCCAATATTAACAAAACTAGTAGACTCCCATCATATTGAATTTAGAAGTAGGAAAACTAATCCTATAAAAAAGGTATAGTCATGCAATTATATAAATAGTAAAAATAAATAAAAAAAGTAGTATTAATCGACAAAAAATGTAAACAAGCACTTTTCTCTTCATAAAAACATGATTGCGCATTTGTTTGTTTTTTTAAAACGATTAAACTTAATGAGGCAACCTTTTTTAAAGAAACGTTTTTTTCTTTTTGTAAAACGAGTTTTAAAAAAATAGTTAATGAACAAATAAATGTTTTTTCTTTATTACATTTTTATATAGATAAAAAAACTAAAACTTAACTGATATGGTGCTGATTATTTTCATGAATAAACCGAATTTGACAACACGTAACAACATTTCAGTTACGCTCCAGATGGTAACTGATCACATACGCAGTACTGACATTTACTGGTCCCAGATACGCAGTATTGTTCTTGGGTATTAACCTGCATTCTTTAGGTCAAATGAAAGTAACCTCAGTATTGGGGGCTGCCAATTAGAATCCTGAATGCATTGCCCACATAATCTCAAATTAGCTACATTTGTCAGATACCCGGTTTTATCCAATGCTAGTTACTCGGATTTGCACTATCCCCAACGATATATATATATATATATATATATATATATATATATATATATATATATATATATATATATATATATATATATATATATATATATATATATATATATATATCGTCAGGGATGGGGATATATATATATATATATATATATATATATATATATATATATATATATATATATATATATATATATATATATATATATATATATATATATATCGTCGGGATATTGGGGATATATATCGTCGACGATCTGGCTACATTTGTCAGATACGCGGTTTTATCCAATGCTAGTTAGTCGGATTTGCACTATCCCCGACGATATATATATATATATATATATATATATATATATATATATATATATATATATATATATATATATATATATATATATATATATATATATATATATTATATATTTATGTACTTTTTTAGTTCATTTAAAAAATGTTTTTTAAAATGGCTACAAAAAAATTCAAAAATATTTTTTCAATATATTTTTTCACGAACTCTTCTATTTACACTTAGCTAAAGTTTGTTTTGCGAATTTTTTTTAACGATTTTTTCTATTTACGCTAAAGTAAAGTTAATAAAAATCTTGTGATAAAAATGGTTGCAAACTGTAACTAGTAGTGACCTTATTGATGAATTAAAAAACTTACATTATGAAGAATTTATGTTTCCAGAAACAAAAATAAAGATTTACACTCTTAATTTGAACTTGAATATTATTTTATTTAATATGTTCAAGGAAAGAAATTAGCTAAGGACTCTGAAGCCGCCCATGACGCTGTTTTAAGTAAAGCACCGAAACTAACACATTCTTTTCTTTCTCCAAATTCTTCACAACCTTGTGAATCAAACATTTTGTGTGATGAAAACTCCTAAAAAACATCTAGTGAGATCTCCACTCTCTCTCAATCTAACTAAAGGAAAGGTAATGTGAGTGACGCTCTGTTGTGTAGTTTAACTTCTTTAGCTAGTTTTGCCACATGTTTATCAACTTCATTCTTGGACATTTGTAGCCAAAAATCTCAGGAAGTATAAAAAAAAATAACAAAAAACCTGAATGTAATTTAAAGCCTACGATAATTGAAACATATGATAGTATTACAATTACAACAGATTTATTGCACAGAAGTGATACTTGCAGATTCTTATCTAATGACCCGTCCACTTGGCGGAACAGCTGACTGTAAGAGAGAAAATGCCTCATTAAAATGAATCCAATACCTTTACTGAAAAGCAATAAAGAATATCCTAAAACCAAAAAAAACCCATTCCTCAAATTAATTTTAATACAGGGTAGGAAAAAATGATGAAAAAGTGGAGAGTAGATGGTTTATGTACTCTTTAGAAACTGATTCAGCTTATTATCTTCCTTATCATCTGTTTGACCCAACTCCAAAAACATATTTTGGAAAAAAAAAAACGTTTTAACAACTGAAAAAAATTCACAGAGCATGCCTAAATGCATGAGACAAATCTATCTTATTTCAGTTGTTTTTAGAAATGAATCAAGACAAGAATAAGGATAAAAAATGAACGAGCAAGGGTCTTATCCAAAAAATCAAGGGTCTTATCCAACAAATTACCAATGAAGCAGAAAGGTGGAGAAGCGTTCTTAAGAAAATAGTGTCAGTGATTATGCACTTGGTGGACATAATATTGCATTCCGTGAAAGCTCATCAGAGCTGATTCCAAATCAGTTCTCGAAAATAATGGGAACTCCCTTGGTCTTATCCAATTACTTGATCCAATTTGATCCAATTTTGATGGAGCATTTACTGTGAATTGAAGATGAAGAAAGAGGTTTTAAAGTGTGAATCCTTAATACGAGGTCATTAACCTCTTAGCTTTGCATGTAAAAGAAGCTACTATGATCAATATAAAGTTTGGAAATTACTTTTAAGTTATTATGGATGGCATTCCAGACCATAGACACAAAGGCTAAGTTCCTCTACCCATCCGCTATTTTAATAAAAAAAATGAAGCAATAGTCCAAAACATCGTCCAAAAATGTTTTATTAAATGTGAAGTGTGTGAAGAGTCAACTGGAGAAGCTCATTCTAACCTTCTAAATGAAGAAAATCAAAATAACCTTCTAAATAAAGTCTGGTAGGCTAGATCTAAATAACTGTAGAGGCCAAAGCTATGACAACGGGTTTAATATGGTTTCAATTTGAAAAGGTGTTGAAAAGGTGTTGAAAGGATTTGAAAAGTCCGAATTTCTGCAGAATACCCACAAGCCTCATTAACAAACTGTTTTAAAGTTTTTTTTGTTGTTTCGCGCTTTTCTTGCTCCTAATTGTCATCTTTAAAAGATAGAATGGACAAGTTCTCCAAATATGAGTCAAAGTGAGGATTCCTATTTGACCTGAAAAAACTACCACCAAAGAATAAACATAAAGAGGATTATGAAATGTTACAAGAACACCTGACTGTGAAAAACAATTCAGATATAAATAAAGAAGAACTGTACAATGAAAATTCTAACGTCAGTTTGATAGCTACTGTTTTTGACAAATGGTGTGAGCAGAGGCAGAAGGCAACCAGCAAAACACAATCATCATTAGAAAAACTCAGTATAACCAAAAACACCACCAGAAAAGATCTTTTAACTAATCTGTGAATAACGCTACGCATACTGCTAACAATTCCAGTGACAGTAGCTAGCAATGAACGTTAAAACCTACCTACGTACATCAATGACGCAACAAAGCTTGACGTTGCTTGCGATATTCTCCATTGAAAATGAGAAAGCAAAAAAACTTAACTTTGAAAGAATTATTGAACAGTTTTTCTTAAAAAAATTTCAAAGAATACTGTTATAAATTTACCTATTTGTCAGTAATTTATGTTTTCATTTAAAAATTACATGTTTAATTTCGTATTTGATTTCCTTAACTGATCACAAATCCTGAATCGAATGTATGTATATGTATATATGGTAGGTGGTGTAAATATTAAAGTATTGATGGCAGCCAAAAAGCTTATATACGCAGTTATTACTGAGCCACCAACCCTAGAACGGCCCTGAACGTAGTAATATCAAAAAAATTATTAACTTTAATCTGTTAATTGAGACGCTTCTAAATTGAAAAAAATATATATTATGTTTACTGACTTATCTCTTAATTTAATTATGATTCGTTCAGATTTTGTTTCTCTTTTCTCTCTTTTTATTTGTTTTTAATTTTCTCTCAATTTAGCTTTTTTAGGGCATTTTTAAAACATGCAAATTATCAAAATATGTAAAGTGCCTTAGACAAGTTGTCAAAACAAAACACTGTGAGAAAAAATCATGTAAGGGGTGCAACCGCTCGCCTTTCCTGAGAAAGCTTGTTATACGGCTATTGTTAAAATTAATCCATACCCATACTGAAATGTGACCCAGAGTTCATATTTGACAAAGAGGAGAAAAAAACTCAACTTTTGGTCTTTTTTTTAGTAGCGATTGAAAGCAAGGAGTTATTTACTTTCAATGTTTGCCACCACTACCCTACCCCCACCCTTTCAAATTCAACCTTCAACTCTAAGTTTGTAAGATATTCCAGTATCCTATTAACAGCCTGAGAAAGAAAAAACAAGATTATAAATAGGGGAAGGTTGCATAAGATGAGGAGGTTCCCAAGATAGTATAACCTCTTTTAGGGGTAAGCCACTAATTTGTTTTGGTTAGGTATGTTCATACAACTTTGTCAGTATTATTTATTACAATTACTTGGTTGTATAGTTAATATTATTTCATTATTTTACTGTTAAAAAATGTACCATATTAGAATATATATATATATATATATATATATATATATATATATATATATATATATATATATATATATATATATATATATATTATATATATATATATATATATATATTTATATATGTATGTAAGTTCGTATTGTAGTTTCCGTTTTTTGAGTATTCGTTTGTTGTTTTCATGTTTCCGTTTCCTTTCTTGTTCCTTATTTCTGACAACATTTTTTTTTTTTTAATAGAAAAATGTTTTCGGAAATTCTAGTGGGATGTATTACTCCAATTTTGTTATACATCATTGGTACTTACGTCAAACATTTGTTTAAATGCCAAAAGTTACCACCTGGACCATTTCCTTTACCAGTGATTGGAAATTTACATTTGTTAGTGAAAGATCCACAGAGAGGACTTGAACGAATTTCAAAAAGGTATGGTGATATATTCAGTATTAGCTTCGGAATGGAAAGATTTGTGGTTGTATGTGATCTTGATTCTATCAAAGAAGTATTAATAGAAAAAGGTACTATGTTTGCTGGTCGTCCAAAGTCTTATGTAGCAAAAATAAGCACACGAAATTATCAAAATGTGGCATTAGGTGATTATAGCCCGATTTGGATACTCATGCATAAAATTATGAAATCATCAATGAGAGTTTTTGAAGATGAAAAAGAAGCTTTAGAAAAAATAGTGGAAAAAGAAAGTGAAGAACTTAATAAACGTATCTTAAAGTCTAATTATGTTGAAAGCAAAATTAACGACAAATTTGGTAACTAATAATTGTTTTTTTTTATATAGGTGTGAGTATGTGTGTGTGTGCTTATGAGTAGAAATTAATAATTTTGGTTGCGTGTAAACTTAGTTGTATATATATATATATATATATATATATATATATATATATATATATATATATATATATATATATATATATATATATATATATATATATATATATATATATATATATATATACGCATAAAAACATATCATATCATATATCAGGCCGCGGCGGGAAGCGAGAGCCTTAGCTTATATATATAAAAAATTGATTTTTTGACGAGATTAAAAAAATAACAACATAATTTTTACTACTAAAAGTTTCATGCATTTAACAAGCATTAGGTTAAAATACATTGTTTTTTACGTTAAAAAATATACTTTGTAATAACATCGTGAAGTTCAAAAACAATTATAAAATATTACTATTTGCAAGCGTGTTTTGGTTTTTTAATCTTTAGGCTCGTGATTGACAAGCAAGAACTTGTTTTCATGACGGCGCTTAGATATTATTTCTGTTTTTTTATTTAATAATTCTTGCGTCCCTTTTATGATATTATGCAAAGTTTTTCATAAAGGCAAAGCAAGCATTTTTTTGTTTCGTTGCTGTAGGCGGGGACTTGTTTAATTATTGACCAGGTTAATTTGGGTGTTATTTTTAAGTTTAATTTTGTCTGCCATATATACTTTAAAAGGGTGATTCAATTTTTCATCTTTTTGTTTGTGAATGAGAGTGTTTGTGGTAAGCCCATCTTTTCTTCCATTCACCTTCTGCTAGGCCAATATATAATTTTTCTGGAGTGTTGGGGGGGGGGGGGATACTATACATTTATAAATAACGTTTTTTCTAATCTCGTCAAAAAATCAATTATATAGCTCTAATATCATTCATCGAGCACTCTTGCTGAATATATGCTCACAGCAAAACTAAACTTATATATATATATATATATATATATATATAATATATATATATATATATATATATATATATATATATATATATATATATATATGTATATATATATATATATATATATATATATATAATATATATATATATATATATATATATAAATATATATATATATAAATATATATATATATATATATATATATAAATATATATATATATATATATATATATATATATATATATATTTTTAATATATATATAGATTTATATTTATATATATATATATATATATATATTTGTATATATGTACATATATAAATATATATATATAAATATATATATATATATATATATATATATATATATATATATATATATATATATATTTGTATATATGTACATATATATATATATATATATATATATATATATATATATATATATATATATATATATATATATATATATATATATATATATATATATATATATATATATGTATATATATATATATATATATATATATATATATATATATATATATATATATATATTTATAAAATTTATGTGTTTGTATTCTACAAATAAAGTGCTCAATGTTTTTAAAAAACAGAGCTATAATAAATTTGTAAAAACACTTATCTAACTTTTGAATTCAACATCTTGTTACTCCATTAATAGATTTATCAGGCTTCCTGATGAACCTATTGATGGTGTAACAAGTTGTTGAAGAAAAATATTAGATAAGTGTTTTTACTTATGTATATATACAATATATGTATGTATATATATACATATAATACAAATAATAAGTTAGGTTTATTATAGTTACTGGAGTGATGAACGTTCTTTGTGGAATTGTTTTTGGTACACAATATGAAGAAAATGATAAAGAACTTGAAAAAGTCATATCTTTTAAACAGTTAATATTAGATGGAGTAGCAGATACATTCGCAATATCTTTTTTGCCGTGGTTAAGGTTTTTTCCTTCAAACGGATTAAAGAAAGTACGAAAAGGCGTGTTGATAAGAGATAAACTACTTAGGTTTCAATTAAAAAAACATCGAGAAACATACAATCCAGTTCAAATAAGAGATTACACTGATTACGTACTTAAATACTCAAAAGAGTTCGAAACTTCAAGAAACATAGATGAGCAGTTAAGTGAAGATAATATGGAAATGATGCTTCAGGATATTTTCATTAGTGGTAGCGAAACAACTATATCAACACTTCTTTGGTTTGCTGTTTATTTAGTTAACTGGCCAAAGTATCAAGATGATATCTATGATGAAACTATTAAAATAGTCGGTAATGATAGGTATCCTAGTCTTTCAGATCGTCCAAAGCTTCATTTATTTGAAAGTGCTATGAAAGAAACTCTGCGTTTGTCGTCTGTCATTCCATTAGGTTTACCTCACAGAAGTCTTGAAGAAACCAGCATAAAAAAATTTAAAATTCCTAAAAATACAAACGTAATGATTAATCTGTGGCAGTTGCACCATGATAGTAAATCTTGGAGTGATCCTCATACATTTAATCCATATAGATGGTTAAATGACAAGAATATCTTTGACAAAAGCAAAAACCCAAACTATCTTCCATTTTCAACCGGATTAAGAGCCTGCTTAGGTTATCACACAACCGAATCCATCATTTTTTTGTTTTTTACCCGATTGATAAGAGATTTTAATCTTTGTTTGAAACCTGGCGCATCTACTCCAAGTTTAAACGGTGTTTTGCGAGTAACCTTAACTCCTGATACGTCATACATTATTCTAAAACCGCGATCAAACAACTTGATCAGCCAAAAAATAGAAGCGTAAGAAAATTAATTTTAATTTGTTGGAATTTAAAGCTGAAATTGAAACATCTCTTGGAAAAAATTTTTTACATTAATAAAAAAGTTATGTTTATGAAAACAAAAAGTTATGAAATTTGTAATTAAATATAAGTTATAAAGTTGTAAAACTGAATGTCTTTAATGTTTTTTATTTTCAACATGATTTCTTTATTAAATGTGTTTTTTTTTTTTTTAATTTTATTTTAAAAATACAGATATTGCATAAGGGTAAGTTGACGAAAATTGGGCAGTTTGGTGCACGTTTGCCCCAAACATCAACGAATCTGAACAAACTGCTTCTAGGAATATACGGATGTCAATGTGAGCAGCCAATAATATTATCTGCAACATAGTAATAATATGGAAAACAAATAAATATTTTATTTTATTTATTTGTTTTTAATTTGATAATTTTTTTTTACGATTTCACAATTTCGCGCACGTTGACAAAGTAATATTTAATTTCGTGCATTTTGTGTATATATTAAATTTAATAGATTATTAAAGAAAATTCGGTAATTTTTGTATTATTTTTAGAGATTAAATACCTGGGGCTAGTTAAAAGTCCCAGTGGTCTCAGTAAGTCTTGTAAAAATTGATTAAGATTATAAAAGACTAATCAGGCTAAAAAAAGAAAAGATTAGAAAGTTAAACTTAAAGAATAAATGAATTGCTAACTTGAAAAAGGGGACATGTTATGTGAATTTTTGCAGGACATGCTCCCTTTTTCAATTTAGCAATTCAAATATAACTTGCCGATTAATATTCTAAAAATGTGCTAAAAATTTACTTTTATGCATAAAAGAAAACTAAACAATAAAACTTACTTTTATGCATAAAATCTTACTTTTTATGCATAAAAGAAAACTAAACAATAATAGGCAACTTTTACAAAACAATGAAATAAAGATAAAAAACATGCAATTGATTTATTTTTAATTTAATACTAGTAGTAACTATCAGATCCAGGATTCAAAGATTCTTAAAAACAAATCAAAATCAACGCTTTCTCTCTTTTGAGAGAAGGCATTGATACACTTTTTTTCAAGTTTCTTCTCTCACTATATTTTTATATCTCTTCTTCATTTTGTTTCTTTTTTCTTTTTTTTGATCATCTTGTTCAATCTTTTTCTTCATCGTATTTTTGTAGGTATCTGACATGAAATTTGTAAATTATTATTAACTAGATTGTTATATATCATTAGAAAGACCTTGAAAATTATGTATTTTAAAGGTGAAAAGGTTATTAAAATCGAACAATTCTACAAAAAGTTATAGCGTTTTAAGTACCAAATTTTTAATATATGGATTTGCTGAAGAAACCGTAACCAAATTTCTTCATCGCATTTACAAAGTCATGACATTTTAAGTTTTTCTTAATTAAAAATGTCATAACTTTGTCATAATTTTTTATATTTTATATATACTATTCAGTATTAACACCGAATAAATAAAATTTCGGACAAATTTTAATTGCATTTATTATGTAATTTATTTTATGCACGCAAAAAAACTTTATACTTATTTGAAAGAGCATTTTATAATCTATTTAAATTTAATCTAATAAAGTTAAAAATATTATTTTATTATTGAAAATTCTTTTTAATATTAAAATAATATTTTTAACTTAATTAGAATTTGAGGTCTTTTACTTTGACCATTTTAGTCAAAGTAAAAGACCTCGAAAAAATGATGGAAATTTTTTTCAAAAAATATCGAGAAAAAGGTAAAGCGTTTGTTGCTAACCAGTTTATGGAATGGGGTTTAACCAGATCAACTGCCTACGATAAAATCGTAAAATTAGAGAATGGATCTCTAAAAAGAAAAGTTGGAAATGGTCGAATCGCTAAGGTAGCTACTAAAGAAAATATTTCAAAGATTGCTGCATTTTTTGAAAATAAGTGAGGGTGCTCCCAAATGAAAGTAGCTCAAGTTTTTAACTGTAGTCAAACTCGAATTTCCCAAGTATTAAAAACAAATCGTCCAGATCGTAACCATCAGTAGAAGAAAGCTATGCGTCCTAAATGTCGTAAATTGAACGAAAATTATAAAAACTTGGACTTTGTTATGGATGATTAAAGCTATTTTACCTTAAACAACAGCACATTAGCTGGTAATGATAGTTTTTATGCCGCTGATCTTTCTCAATGTTCTGACAAAGTAAGATACGATTTGCGGCAAAAGTACGTGGACAAGCTCTTAGTTTCTTGTTGCATCAGCCCTTGTGGAATAAGCCCTCTTTATATTCATCACAGTAAGCAGGCAATCAACCAGTACACTCATAAAGACATACTATCAAAAACTTTACTTCCTCTAATATCAGAATATTATAAAAAAGACAATTAGTTTTTTCTTCTGGCCTGATCTAGCTCGATCACATTACGCAAAGTCGGTCATCGACTTTTTAAATTATATAAACCCAGCTAACGTTCCAGAAGCAAGACCAATTTAAAATTTTTTGGGTCTAGGAGAATAATTGGAGAGCTGAGAATTTGGAAGAGCTTGAAGCAAGAATTAGATATTGCTATTTAAAGATGAATAAAGAAATTTTCCTTACTCAAATACAACATTTTTCAAAAAAACTTTATAATAGTGCTAAATATGGTATTTGAAATAATTATTTTAATATATTTATAAATTACATATACTAACATATTAACAGATGAAATATTAAATAATTTGTTTATTAGTTCTTAAAGTTATTTTTTTATTAGTTCTTAAAATAATAATTTTTAAATTTTGTCCAAAATTTTATTTATGAGGTATTATTTTATATCATAGCATACAAATAAACATTTTTTATGTTATAATATTTATTATGATATGCCCATTGTCAACTTCCCGTGTGTATTGCGGAAAGTACTATTTTGGGTGAGTTAGTAGGGTGTCTGGGATGCTTTTTTTCATGAAATTTGACAGCTAGCAAGAAAAAAGGTTTTCGTTGATATCTGAATATATTAGAAAAAAGTGTCAGCATTCCTTTAATGCATACCTGATGCCCAAACAACAAGGAAGTTTTAAACAATAATTTCATTATAAACGAAATTTTTCAAAAAATTTTTTTGTACAGAATTAAAGTTAAACTAGGGTAGGGTGGGGTAATCTGAGCCTATTTTTACCTATTTTTGATTTTGAGTTAAAAAAAAGCAATGTTTAGGTATCAGCTTTCTGAGAAAAGGTGTCTTAAAGTCATGATTGGACATCTTGCTAAACAAATTTAACAAAAAAATATTAATTAAAATACTATCAATAGGTCTAGGAAGCTTTTGTTTGAAGAAGCCTATATATTTTATGTAGACCCACATTACCCCACGTAGTGGGGTAATGTGGGTCTACATAAAATTTTGGCAGTTTCGGTTTAAAAAGTAGTCTTAAGATATTTTTATTTAAAAAGAAAGTGCATAAATACACAGTACAAAAATAAAAGTTAAAAATTCAGAGAAATAAAAATAATAAAATGGTAATTAATAACAGAAATAATAATGTTTTAATAATGTGTTTTATAAAAAATAACTATTTTTTTGATCACTGCACTTTTCTGGTAACATTTGTGCTATTTCGGGCACTTCTTAGATCTTTTTGGGTATTTCTTTACTACTTCAGTAGAGGTAATATATTTTTTTTAACTTTTTATTTTCCTCTAACTTTTTTTTCCTCAAGTAACCGTCGTTTGACTTTCTCATTTGTAAGGAGTTCTCCACACTTTGCTTGCACTCTCTTCCTTTTTTGTTTATGTTGTTCTATTATTGCTGCTGTTTCTGCAGATATATTAGAACATATGATTGACCTTAAAGCTTCTCCCATCTTGGTGTTTGTAATCTTTAAGATTTAGGGCTATAATGTTCAGGTGATAGATTGAGAAAGTCGATACCGGTTATTCTTCTTTCCATCTATTCTTTACTTAATGGTAAAATACCGCGAAGTTCTGCTATAGCATTTGCTGGAGAGAGTCTCTGACACAGTTGTTTCAATAATCTTGTAAATGCTTTCTTATCAATATTTTTGTGTTGTGTTTCTCTTGAAAACCACTTTAAAATTTTTCTCCAATCATTCTTTAATGGTCCGAAGACAGCCACATCTAATGGTTGTAATGCGTGTGAGCAATTTGGCGGAAGACAAACAGTTTAGATATGGTTGTCCATGGCCGCTTTCATGGTAACATATGTTAAATGACTGGTACAATGATATTATTATGGATTACATCAGATAAAATAGTAAAAAAATTATCTACAACTTCACATGTTAAACTTTTACCTCTTGAAAATGTAAGTATTTCAGGTTTACGTAATCGAAGTTTGTCAACGTGACGCTTCCTAAAAGAAATTATCTAATCTTTCCCAGGAATTCCATTTTTAAAAGGAGTTTTTATCCTCATGGCTGTGCAAAATTGAGCAACGAAGTTGCAAATATCAAGATAATCTAATGGAAGACCATATCTTTGACAATACTGAGCTGCAGCTACAATCATAGTTTCATCATGATCAATCAGCACACTTTTTCGACCTTCAAGTTTGTTTGCATTAAATTCTTGTTGTTTTATTCTTCGTCTCAATACTTCTTTAGGAACAGAACATTCTTTAGCAGCATGATAAATAGTCTTTTTTTCTTCACATACTAACATAATTGCTCTTTCCAAACTATTAGCATTGTACTTGGGTTTTATTTTTTTGTATCATCTTGGTATTTTTAAAATACTTTCTAAAGTATTAATTATAAAAAATTTCTAAAGAAATAAATTAGCATTAATCATAACATATCACAAAAAAAAAAACATTTTAACACCAAATAAGTCTTATTTAATATTTTATTTGACCTAGGTGAATATATTGTTTCATACAAATAAACACACATGTTTCTTAATATAAATTTCAAAAATATAAACTTCAAACAAAAGTGTTTAATAGTTCTTAAGAATTATTAACACGAAAATAGTTAGGTCTGATGAAACTAATAGGTTCATAATGTTACTAACAACAACTTATAATATAATTACATATGATAATATAATTACATATCATAATATTTTACACACATAGATCCACTTTACCCCATTGATTATATATCAAATTTTAAACAAACCATGTGCGCTAGTGTCTTAAAGGTATACTATCCTTAAAATATAGTAATTTAACTTTCAAAATAACCATTTTTCATACGC